TCCAGTGAAATATATTTATGTTTGTGGTTGTAATGTGACAAAATATGGAAAAGTTCAAGGGGTATGAATACTTTTGCAAACCACTGTATAATAATGAGAAAATTTCTGGTACAATTGTTCCTCTTACAGTTGATTAATTTTAATTAATAATGAACACAGAGTGTATAATCAGCACACAGCAGCTCAGAAAATCTGTCATGTATAAATAAATCACACAAAGTAAAGAATGACTGAAGGTTGTTTGTCTTTCTGTGGTGTGACACATGAACGCACTTCAACTGAATTAATTGTGTTTCTCAGTGAATCAGCATTGAACTCTGGTGACAAACAGAAAAATAAAATAAAGTGGGATGAGCAGGATGGGGATTAGCATGCAGTGCAGATGTTCACCAACATGCAGGCAAGTTCAATCACAGGTGAAGAACAAGTTTCATTTTACTAAGTTTCTTTTTAACCCTGAAGATTAAAATATGTTGTGCTATTTAAATGTTATTTTATGTTTTATGTCTTGAACTGAAAATTAATTGTATCAGTTCTAATAAAGACAAAATTTTATTCTGTACATTTATGTTTTAAACTTGTACACCAGGTAGAAGTGTGTCTGTTTCTTTTTGTGATGTAAAGTGAAGGTTGAGGAGTTTTTAAGCTCTCAAAATCAACATAAAACAAAGAGACACTTTAAAATAATGCAAAATGATTTGCATCTAAAATAAAACAGAAATGTAAAAAGGTATTTTCTAAATAATTGTATCTGTAAACACAGGCAGGTGGATGACAAAGTGATGGAGTTCATAAAGTCTAAAAGAGTTTTATAGCCTTAATGACACAGCTGCTCTGTCATTTTTAATCTATCATATCTGAAGAGCTGATGAAGTCCAGCATCCGTTCTTGTTCTAATGTTAAATTGTTCAAATAGTAATGTTTACCTTGAAGCTGTCATATATTTAGTACTATTTTTACTTTAATAAAATGTTACCTGAATATTCAACATTGAGACTTGTTTTTCTTCACCACAAGCTGTGAGCAGAGAACAATAAAAATGGAAGTAAATTGTTACAAACTCGTTAAATGATACACAGGCACTGTCAAACCTTTTACAGCAAAAAAAAAAAAAAAAAAAAAGGAAATAAAGAAATAAAGAAATAAATTACAAATTGTCCTCATAAAACTGCTGATTTTGGACTCTTCAAACATCGTCTCAGGCTTGTTCTAAATGCCAGGATAATGAATTTATGATGGTCTAAATGTCACAATAACTTCCTACTCCTGAAACCTTTAAACCCTGTGTTTAACTGACATATTTTTACAGAAAAAAATACAATATATTGTCTTTTATGCCACAATATTGCTATTAATACTGACAGCAAATCTTACCCACAGGTAGTGTGAGATCTAATTAAACTAAATATTCACTTATTGTAACAAAATACAACACACACACTCATTTAGTGACTACATTAAAATCTTTGTGTCATTGTATCACTGTGCAGCATTTACAGTTGATTTTGAGATTAAACTGATAATCTGAAAAAGTGACTTCAAAATAAAATCTGACATAAAATCAGCTCACATGACATAATTCAGTTCAGTTCAGTTTATCTATATAGGGCAGGGGTGTCAAACTCCAGTCCTCGAGGGCCGCTATCCTGCATGTTTTAGAGGTTTTCCAGCTCCAACACACCTGATTCAGTGATTGAATTAACTCTTCAAATTGGGCAGAAGCCTGTTAATYACCCAGCKATCAAAATCWGGTGTGTTGGAGCAAGAAAACCTCTAAAACATGCAGGATAGCGGCCCTCGAGGACAGGAGTTTGACACCCCTGATATAGGGCCAAGTCACAATAAAACACCGTCTCAGGGCACTGTACATGAAAACCAATAAATCTAAAGAAGCAGCAGATTGTGTTGAATCACTTCATCACAGTCTCTCATCCTGAGCAGCACATTGGTGACAGTGGAGAGGAAAAACTCCCTTTAACAGGAAGAAACCTCCAGCAGAACCAGAACCAGGCTCAGGACAGGATATGTTGAATATGTTGAGTTTTTATTTAAATTTAGATAAGGTCTTTGTGTGAATACAGGCCCTGGTCTGGTTCAGTGAGTCAGTCCTGCAGTGTTTCTCATCACTTACCTGAAAGGGGACTTTGCGTGAGGGGTCCATGTCGTCGTAGAGCCCGCTTGAACTGCGCCACGCCCAGAATGACGTTTCTCAGCTTCATCCACAGAAAGTATCCTCCTCTGGTGCTGGAAGGCCACGTGCTCTCCAACACCGCCTGAATGTAGAGCGGAGGAAGAAAATGAAAATATTTCTGTGAAAAAAATAATGTTGAAGTATTTATAATTTAAATTTCTCAGTGTCAAACATTCAGAAGCTTCCTAAACAAACAACTGAGCTTGTAGAGTCTAAACCAGGGGTCTCCAACCAGTAGCTCGTGAGATCATTTAAAGTAGCTCTTCAGTGTTTGTGAAAAATTAGGAGAAGCAAAATTAAATTTTCACTGGCCAAACAAACTTTCATTTAATTCCAATCAATCTATAGATGTCCCTTCCACTTGGTTGTCAATCAAACAGCTTATGGTTGTTCGGTGTTTGTTTTCGCACACACCTTTCATGGCCCCTTGAGAATAAACTGTGCCAAACTCCTGGTAAACCCCTCCCACTGCGGTATATGTCACTACAGGGGGTTTCTTCCTGCTGGAGTCTACAATGCGGAAAAGAAATCGGAGACCCATCGCCTGACGTTATTTGTGCACAAATCTGTTGCAATTAAACCCTAAGTTATTAGTGTGAAATACAATAAAATATGAATGGATAAACACAAAAACAACACTCATGTGAATTTAGTGTTCTTGGTGGTGGTTCCATGTGAATTGAAGACAATGTTTTTTGTGCAAAACAAGCTTATTCCAATGGTTTAAGTTTAAGTTTAAAATTATATGTTGCAAAAAGTAGCTCTCGGACAATTTCAATTTGTGAAAGTAGCTCTTAAGGAAGAAAAGGTTGGAGATCCCCGGTCTAGACTATGTGTAAATCAATGCTGAAAATTCATCATTAAATTTCAAATGAAACCTTTGATTTGAGCAAAATGAAAATAAAGGCTCTGATAACGTTTTTCTCTTGGCTGCTCCTTTCTGCAGGGGTTGCCACACTGAAGGAACTTTTAGGGTTTGGAGATTGTTTTACGCCAAATGTCTTTCCTAGGATAGAACCTGCAGCCTCAGGGTTGACTACTAAAAAATAATGTTCTACTATAATTTACAATGTCCCAGACCTGTACAGAGCTCTGTGGAACTGGTGACATACATACATAAACCTATATACAGTATATATA